AGAACTGCCACCGCTTATTTTAATTACCAATTCTAAATTTCTATTTATAAACCTATATTTAATTATTGAATATGGCGGGCTTTCCGTCTCATATTCGTAAGTAAATATTTTCCCACGTATTGGAACACGCTCCTACTCAGCTAGCTAATATGATTCTGGTAGTAATGCCGTCTCCTTGGTAACGGTGGAACACATTTAGCGCTCCTGCTGAAACTTTCTTGGTCGTTTCCCTCAGTAACAGCAACAGAATGGATTTCGGCTCGGTTAGTTAAAGCCTCAGTTAAAGTTCGTTAACGGCGTGTGAGCGGACGCTGACCGATCCATGAATTCGTACCGTAACTCGACCCCCATGGAGATGCACTCCCACACCTCGCCGTTTTGGGCTGAGGCTCATCGTAATTCAGGACTTGGGGTGTTTCTCTCCGTTGGGGGGGGTTGCTCCCTTGTCTCAGGCAGCATATGTTAACACTGGCGAGATGATTGAACTGCAGCTTCAAATAGATGGTAGACACGGCATGAAAGGGCCTTGAGCGGAGACTGGTGTGTGCCCAGTACAGAGGGCCTCTCTGACGGACAAGCCCCCAACCCATCTTTGGTGATAAGAACTAATAAAACATTGATGCTCCCCTTCTGACAAAATTATGAAGCTGGCTATTTTTTTTGACTGTAACTTTAATAAATGACTGCTTCTGCTAGACGAGTCGCTTCAGCCTGGTGTAACGCCGTGCTTTTATGTAATTCCGGTAGACGGGCCAACTGTCTGTGTCAGGATCTGACTCTTACATATAAGCTGGTAACTTTTTAATATTCATTTGGCTCCACCGCTGTTCTCTTATGACATTATTTTTCAGACAGCATCTGTGTCTTTAAGAATTTATTCAAAGGGTTTGGCAAAAGAGTATCCCAAAAAGTGCTGTTTTAAATCATTGCTATCCACTTCTTTTGCCATTAATCCTGAACATTTTCTTCATGTTATGTCATTCAGTAAAAATAACACTTACCTTGTCTATGCTACACACGTCCCTGTTTGTCTTTAACAAATAAGAAATATTAGGCACGTAAAATAATGTTGCTGCTGCTTTGTAATTCGTTATTAAAAATAAAAGCTCAATATGGATTGAGGGATTGTTATCAGACGGTTATAGCAGGAGCTTCTAGGGCAGGGTTCTTCAACTCTGGACCTCGATTCCAAATCCAGGCCGTGTTTTCATTTCTCCCAGGTACAGTAGTTGTTTAATAATGGCTGATTCTGATTGGTCAGAGGCTTCACACCTGACGGACAGGTAAAGGAAGGCTGGAAAACCAGCAGTGCTCAGACCTCGAGGACCGTGAGTTGAACAACCCTGTTCTAGGGCATAGAAGCTTTTAGAAGGAATACCATTAGCAAATAGTGGAATTAATGCAGGGGGGCCAACCGCGTCTTGGGTGGGTGTCTCAGTGTAGGGTCAGCCAATATGCAGCATGTCTCTGGACCTGGGGGCTAAGGCCTTTGCTCGAGGGCCTACAGACATGTGACTGTTTTGCCAAGACCGGGGCTCAAATCTGTAATCTTCTGTTCACAGACACAGAGACTTAGCCCACTGAGCCACTCACCGCCGATGTGGCTTAACGTGTTCGGGGGGAGGTGTGGCCAACCCAGGGGCGGAGACTAGCAGTCAGGTGACACACACGGTCCAATAAAGCTTTATTGATGTCTCAGCCATGCACAATACACAATGAAACAAAATAACGTTCCTTCTGAACCCATGCAGACATCGTGCAACATTGTGACGCATTTTCATTCAGCAGGTGCTTTTGTGCATAGTGACGTACAGGTGAGGCGAGGCAGACGGCACAATGCAGACACACTGAATGTGCCGTCGAGGAGTGGCCTGGGTTTGAGGGCGACTAGGCTGAGCTTCCAGTGAATGCCCAGGTTGAGGGGTGATCCGTTTTGGAGCAGGAGCTACACAGGATCTTACAAACACGGCATTACAGTGCTAAAGACGGAGTTTTTGGAATAATTTACATACTGCAAAAAAAAAATTTTAAATCCAATATGTGACCAGCACAGACAATCGCATCTCCTGTGAATTATTACTAATCCCCAAGATCGTGTTCAGTTTTGCTTGGAAAATCCCCCCCCCCCAAAAACCTTAATTCCTGCCTCTGTTGCCGTCCTTCCCGCAGTTTGTCTCCTGTTTTGTTTTTCCTCCGTTTCTCGTTCGTTTCCCCGCCCGTCGATGTTACCCTTATCTCCACTCCTCCAGCCAAACTCATCCTCTTCCCCCCCCCCCCCCCCGCTTGACATATCTACCTTTTACTGTTCCGATGTTTACGTGTGGCTGAAAGTGCTCTCTGCCTCAGTGTCCGGATTACTCATCTGATACACGTCATTAACGATACAGCGGAATAATGTTCGTAGTGCGCAAGGCCCGGCGTAATGCAAAAGTCTGCTCTATATTCACTGTGTTGAGCAGCTTATAGATGGATCCTTGGGAGGATTCTTAAAGGTAGAACTTTTATCGACATAATAATGGAAATGGTATGATGCAGATCCACAGTTGTCGAGGCTCGAAGCTTCCGCTGGCTTTTAACGCCTCAAGGCTGTCTGTTAAGTTGTTCACACATCAGAATGACCTGGTGAATTTTTATGCTTTTTCTTTTCCAAGGTCTTGTCTATAATCTACAATCGCA